GCTCCAGATGTTTGCTCACTGTAAGCTACTTTAGGCACACATACAAACTCATGGACCCCCCCTACAGCCCCCCCAAGCTGGAGCCTGAATGCATCAGTGTAAATGGGTTAAAACCGGTCAGCTTCACTGGATGTCTGTGTTATTATCAGAGGTGTTTTGGAGGCCATGAAAAAGCAAAAAATGGCATCTTGGCAAGTGAAATGATCTTAAATTTAGTCAAAATATCTAATGTTTCTCATTTTAATATTCTTGTAGCCTTTTTTATGGGTGTAAACACCTTGATAAACCGAAATAAACATATTAATTACAATTAATTACAATAATTCATAAGGTTATGTAACTTCCTTACATACATTTTTACTTGTTTTAAGTGATTTTATTCAGTAAAATTATCTCACTATAGTGGCAGATAATTTTGCTGGTTTCAAGCTCATTTCTTACGACATGCACAATTATCTGCCAATATAGTGAGATAATTTCAATTAAAACAATTAAAAATGTCTAGAAATAAGATAAGTAATCTTCTAATAAGGCTACAAACATCTCAACATTAGAAATATTAGATATATTGACTAAATTTAAGATAATTCTACTTGCCCAGATGCCGTTTATGCAGCGAACACGCCCAGTCGAGTTATGTTTTCTAAGTGAATAAACTTAAATATGGCAATTTTTCTTAAATTACTCCATTAATTTTAGTGCGAAACCTCTAATTATATTGTGAATATTGAGAAAAAAATAAAACATAACAAATAAAATGTGCCATAACGTTTGTACAGGCCAGATTTTGTTTTATTTTTCCACCCCATATGTAAAATGTCTCAAATAAGCTGTATTTGCGCGCCCTGTTTTGTGTGTTCTCTGCAGAAAATTTCTATATACATTGAAAATGAACAAAACATGTAATGTGACCGGAGGGCCCAAACTTTAGCACGCATCTGTATGAAGAATAAGCTCTGAAATGGGTCATAAAACATTTTAAAAACATTTTAAATATTAATATTTTTTATGTTTTTTAAATAGGGGTGTAAACGGAAATTAACCCAGGACCTCGTACATTTAATCTTGTTGGAATCTGGCTTTAGCCAAAAATCAGCTGTTTTAGAAGCGCAGCTCTTTGAAATGATACATGATGAACTGTGTTTAATGTGTCCAGCGATGTGAACTAACAAGGTAAAGAAGTTCCATTTTGATTTCAGGTTGAATTTCAGAAACAAAACCCATCAGATTCTCTCCATACGACTGGATAACTAGAGCTACAGACCTACTCTGACATGCACAACTGGGTTCAGACTGACCCCATTTACAGGGGGTTTGGAGGCTGATGCTGAGACTGAGAGGGAGAGAGAGAAAGAAGGAAAATGGAGATGATGGGAGGAGTGAGAGCTGCAGTGAAAGGAGAGGGAGATTATTGTTCTTAGATGTGCATCGATCATGAGTTTTATTGGAGTCCTTACAGCCAAACAGGCTGACAGCTGATTTTTAGTGGTCTGTTTTTAAGCCTGGTGCTCACACTGTGTGGGCTAATTAAATACGCTAGCAACACCCTGGCAACCACATGGAATTTTATGGCAACCATGTAGTAGCACCCTAGCAACCACATGGAATACCGCAGCTGCTATGTAGCAACACCCTGGCAACCACATGGCACGTCATAGCAGCAACCTAGCAACCACCTGGAATCTCATGACAACCATGTAGTAGCACCCCAGCAACCACATGGAATACCACATCAACCATCTGGGATACCACAGCAACTGCCTAACAACACTATAGCAACCACCTGGAATATCATAGCGACCATGTAGTAGCACCCTAGCAACCACATGGAATACCGCAGCTGCTATGTAGCAACACCCTGGCAACCACATGGCACGTCATAGCAGCAACCTAGCAACCACCTGGAATCTCATGACAACCATGTAGTAGCACCCCAGCAACCACATGGAATACCACATCAACCATCTGGGATACCACAGCAACTGCCTAACAACACTATAGCAACCACCTGGAATATCATAGCAACCATGTAGTAGCACCCCAGCAACCACATGAAACACTGGAGCTACTACGTAGCAACACACTAGCAACCATCTGGGATACCACAGCAACCACCTAAAAAACACTAGCAACCACCTGGAATATTATAGCAACCATGTAGTAGCACTCTATTAACCACATGGATCACCACAGCTACTACGTAGGAAAACACCCTAGCAACCATCTGGGATACCACAGCAACTGCCTAAAAACACCCTAGCAACCACCTGGAATATTATAGCAAACATGTAGTAGCACCCCAGCAACCACATCGAACACCGGAGCTACTACGTAGCAACACACTAGCAACCATCTGGGATACCACAGCAACCACCTAAAACACCCTAGCAACCACCTGGAATATTATAGCAACCATGTAGTAGCACCCTGGCAACCACATGGAATACCACATCAACCATCTGGGATACCACAGCAACTGCCTAACAACACTATAGCAACCACCTGGAATATTATAGAAACCATGTAGTAGCACCCTGGCAACCACATGGAATACCATAGCTACTATGTAGCAACACCCTGGCAACCACATGGCATGTCATGGCAACAACCTAGCAACATCCTAGCAACCACCTGGAATATTATAGCAACCACGTAGTAGCACCTAGCAACCACGTGGAATACTGCAGTTACTACATAGCAACACCCTGGCATCCATATGGCATGTCATAGCAATAACCTAGCAACACCCTAACAACCACCTGGAATATCATAGCAACCATGTAGTAGCACCCCAGCAACCATATAGAATACCGCAGCTACTATGTAGCAACACCCTGGCAACCACATGGCATGTCAAAGCAACAACCTAGCAAAATCCTAGCAACCACCTGGAATATCATAGCAACCATGTAGTAGCACCCCAGCAACCATATAGAATACCGCAGCTACTATGTAGCAACACCCTGGCAACCACATGGCATGTCAAAGCAACAACCTAGCAAAATCCTAGCAACCACCTGGAATATCATAGCAACCATGTAGTAGCACCCCAGCAACCACATGGAACACCGGAGCTACTACATAGCAGCACACTAGCAACCATCTGGGATACCACAGCAACCCCATAAAACACCCTAGCAACCACCTGGAATATTATAGCAACCATGTAGTAGCACTCTAGCAACCACATGGAATACCACAGCTACTACGTAGCAACTGCCTGGAAGCCACCTAAAACACAACAGAAACTGTCTAGCAACCACCTGGGACACCATAAAACCCACCTAGACAGCCATTTAAGCACAAAGCAAAATTTTAGCAACTGCTCAGCAACACCCTGACAACGATTTTGACATTCTAGCAACCACTAGAGATACCATAGCAACAGCTTGGCAACATCTTAGCAACACACTTCAAAAAGATGGTTCTTCAATGGTTCTTTAGTAAAGGTAATGGTTCTATTTAATGCTTAGATGTTTTTGTTGCATGGTGAAACTGTTTTACAGATTGATTGAAAATGTGTTGTATATGGTTCTATACAGAACCTTGTTGTATATGGTTCTATAAAGCACAAAAACGTACTATTGTGATAAGCTCGACATTGTTACAATAGAAAAATCTTTTTGGTGCTATTAAAAACCATACGTGACACAATTCTCCATCAATCTGAAGAACCATTACACCATGCAAAGAACTATTTAAGCATTAAATAGAACCACTGCCTTTACTAAAGTACCCTTAAAGAACCATCTTTTGAAGTGTTTAGTTGCTACAATGTGTTGAACATGGTTTTATACAGAAGCTTGTTGTATATGGTTCTATAAAGCACCAAAAATGTTCTTCTATTGTTGTAAGTTTGACATTGTTACACCATGGTGATGTTAAAGAACCATGCACTGCTGTGTCTGATCCACTCGTACCAGCACAACACACACTAACACACCACCACCACGTCAGTGTTACTGGACAATGAGCATAGAAACAAGGTGGTGGTCATAATGTTACGCCTGATCGACGTAGAACGAAGAAGGAGAGAGCAAAGAGGGGGGCAGAGATCATGATGAAAGGAAGAGAGGGATGAAGAGAGCAGATGGGGGATGGGGAGATAGGGCCAGATAGAGAGGTGGAGGGATGAGAGTGATGATACAGTCTGTATCACTTCTTCCCCAACCCGTCGCTCAGAGGAAGTGTGTCAGCTGCACTGTAAACACAGATAAGGCTTCAAATCAGGGACATTAGGATTAGGCCTGAGATTAGAAATTAGAGTCGGGTAATTACCACTATCGTTCTTTCCTCTTTAAACACAGCCATATTCTTCTATTATTATCTTCTATTATTTTTCTTCAGCCTGTAACGCGGCCCAGATGACAGAGTGCACCATATTTCCCCTCTGGCCAGAAGTTTCCTCACTGCACGCTAGTTTGACTCATGGGTAAATCCTCTGAGTTGAGGGTTCAGAGATCTTTTGCAACTTCTTCTGCAAATTTTTCCCAAATCGTGTCAACAGGGTCACTTTGGAAAGCAGCTGCGTACACTTGCATGTAAAAGTCTGGGTTGATTTTCACTTTTTCAAACAGAAAATGGACACTTTTAAGATCAGATTTGATCGACAGCCGATTTGGTCAGACTCTGAAGATGAGACGACACTAAATTCCCAAACTGTCATCACTACTGAGCAGCTTTTCAGTCGGCAGCTGAGACAGAAGAACAGCTAAACAACCTGGAATCAGCCAGAAATGAACCCAACACCATTCACCAAACTAAATGGTCTGTAAGATGCTTTACAGACTGGCTGGAACAAAACAACATTAATATTGATCTGGCAAAAACTGACAAAACTGAGCTGAACTTGATATTGCGGCAGTTTTATGGCTCAGTCTGATTTGGTCAGACTCTGAAGATCAGACCACACGTTTGGCGAATGGTATTGGGTTCATTTCTGGCTGATTCCAGGTTGTTTAGCTGTTCTTCTGTCTCAGCTGCCGACTGAAAAGCTGCTCAGTGGTGATGACAGTTTGGGAATTTAGTGTAAGGAGCTGGAGAACGAACTGCCGGCTGTGCAGCGAGTGGGCGGAGCTCATTACTCTGACGTAGCAACAAGCTGCTCGTTAAGGAACTATAATTTGGTGAAGGAACTGCGAACATTAAAACATATTAAACGCCGCGTTCACGGCCCAGTTTATTAATTTATTACTGTATTTATTTAACTGTTGTATTAAAGCAGTAGAACACTCGAGGAGTGTGTTATCGCCAATAACATCACGGCTGTGATGATCTACGGCGACCAAATCACAGCCGTGATGTTGTTTCACTATAACACACTCCCTCTGTGTTCTACTGCTTAAATAAACACTTGTAGAACCATTTCCATGCTTAAATGGTTCTTTGCATGGTGATGCACCAAAAGGTTTCTGCTATTGTTACGAAGTCAAGCTTGTCACAACAGAAGGACCCTTTTTGGTGCTAGATAGAAATATTTTTTAAAAGGTTCTATATAGAAACATCTACAACATCAATCTGAAGAACAATTTAACCATGCAGAGAACCATTTAAGCATGCAAATGGTTCAATGAGTGTTCATGGTTCTGTATAGAACCACTGTCTTGACTAAAGAACCGTTGAAGAACCATCTTTTTTAAAAAAGTTAAGTGCAAATAAATTAAAGCATCTTCTACAGAGAACATAATTCTTCATATTTCAAGGCTCAGTTACTGTTTACTGCAGTAATGTTATTACTGAACATTTTACATGTTAGCTGACCTGCTTTATTTTCTCTATGCTGAGCTTAGCAAAAAAACCCTTTTCGCACTAAAAGTGCAGAAAAATGCCCCATTAAAGTTTGTTCTCTGGATGTATTAACTTATTTTCATTTTCAACAAAAATGTCGTTTGGCCAGGGGTGTTAAAACATTTGTGTACAACTGTATGTAGCCTTTGCTTGCTGGCTACCGCTAATGCCAGCTATGCTAACAAACAATCACACATTCAAAGCACAACTGAGCAAAAAAATCGAAACGATTAGCTAACCAGCTAACATTTAGCTTTGTCAGCACATTTTCATAATGAACTGTGTAACTGATGTAGCTAAATAACATTAACGTCAGCTGCAGCTAATGGAGTTGCCCAGAAACTGTGTCAGCTAGGTCATAGATAAACATACCTAGACGCCGCAGGCACGTCAACGGCGCTGCCATTTTAAGGCGGTCAACATCGCTGCTGGACAGCATTCAGTATCATTACAGAGCGGCAGTTTAAGAACGATACTGACCAGAATTACACTATTTCTAAAGTATTGCTCTCAGAAAGTGGGAGAGGATTATATAATGGAGGGAACTCAGCGATCCACACTCATGTCTGTGTGATGTTCATGTGTAGATATGGTCGTGTAGTCGGTGATACTCAACCTGTTGATGTGATTGTTTTTCCTCTGGTTTTATATTAAGCTTATTTTATTTAATAGTCTATTCAGGGGGATTTTAACTTTATGTAGTTATTTATTTACAGTGCCGGTTGAAGCTTTGTAGCGGTGAGTTACAGCATTAATTAATCCGTGTAGATATTCATAATAGATTAACGTTAGAACCTTCTTACTCAGAGCTGAAGCACTTCTTATTTTCCCGTTCCACCTTAAATGGTTCACCAGCCAGCTTCTTGTTTGAATTTTCCCGTTCCACCTTAAATGACGCAGCTTCAGGCACCAGAAAGAAGCTGACGAATAGGAAGCCAATTTTAGCTTCGTCCTTCTTACTGTGTTTTGGGGGTTTATTTTATTTTTATGTGTATTAAGATGAGAAGTGATTCACACATTGATGGATTTGCTGATGTGTCTGATTGTGTTTCTCGCACTAAACTCAGTTTTAACGTCAGTGCAGACTGAATACTTTCCTGCTGGTCCGGACGGCTAATTAGCCCCACCAGTTATTAAAGTAATAAAAGCTACCGAGAGCAGCTCGTACAGGCTGGATTAATCTGTGTCTGAGGATTATAACCAAACAGATTTGGTGAAAATCGGTTGAGTAATAAGGAAGATGTGGCCGATTTAATCCTGAGACTCTCAATACAAGAGAATTTGTTCACAAGCGGATCTTGACCTCTCCAACATGGCGGACGCAGACGTATCGCCTCACATAGAGAACAACAGACAACGCAGCATCTTGGTATGTACATCTATGAGCTGGGTTATGTTGCAGCGCTAGCTAAGCAGCTTATCTGAAGCTAACAAGGTGGGTTCAGGCTTGAGGACCTCAGTCCAACAATGCTAATGTTATTTAGCTGACTGGCTCACTGTGTGAATGTGTGCATTTTCATTAATGTTACTAAAGATAAACACAGAGATGGGAAGAGGAAAGCGGAGTTATCTCACCTCAGTCAGCGAGGAGGTTCATCTCAGTGATGAAAAGGACGACTCAAAGGCCTGAAACACAGACAGAGACGTTCATTAGAGCTAATACACCATAAACGTGGGCTTTACATTAGAGTTATTCCATTACATTAGAGTTTATATAATACTGTTAATTACAGCAACTTCACCACACTCAGAAACCTGAACACAGCTCTCAAGACACACTGCTGCAACCACAAGCAAGAGCAAATGGCGTTAAAGGGCCGTATCCAATATTTTTCTTTTTTTTTCCCCCTCAAGTCCACTTACATGTTTTTGTATGTTGGCTAAGTAACAAAAAATAGTCATGATTTATTTTAATATGTGTATTTTCCAACCTCTTCTTACCCCTCATAAGTAAACAGGCCGTTTGTTACATCACTCTGTTACTTTTAAGACTGATGTATGTAAACGACCTCAGTTCTGATTGGTCAGTCTGTATTGTGCTTCATTCAAAAAGCACTCCAGGTTATAACACTCCTTATAACTTCAGTGTAAGCAGGTGGAGCTAAACTGCTGAGGCTGAATACATGGATATACACCGATCAGGCATAACATTCTGACCACCTCCTTGTTTCTACACTCATTGTCCATTTTATCAGCTCCACTTACTATATAGGTGCACTTTGTAGTTCTACAGTTACAGACTGTAGTCCGTCTGTTTCTCTGCATACTTTGTTAGCCCCCTTTTACCCTGTTCTTCAGTGCTCAGGACCCCCATGGACCCTCACAGAGCAGGTACTATTTGGGTGGTGGATCATTCTCAGCACTGCAGTAACACTGACGTGGTGGTGGTGTGTTAGTATGTGTTGTGCTGGTCTGAGTGGATCAGACACAGCAGTGCTGCTGGAGTTTTTAAACACCTCAGTCCCACTGCTGGACTGAGAATAGTCCACCAACCAAGAACATCCAGCCAACAGCGTCCTGTGGGCAGCGTCCTGTGACCACTGATCAAGGACTAGAGGATGACCAACACAAACTGTGCAGCAGCAGATGAGCTATTGTCTCTGACTTTACATCTACAAGGTGAACTGACAAGGTAGGAGTGTCTAATAGAGTGGACAGTGAGTGGACACAATGTTTAAACACTCCAGCAGCACTGCTGTGTCTGATCCACTCGTACCAGCACAACACACACTAACTCACCACCACCATGTCAGTGTTACTGCAGTGCTGAGAATGATCCACCACCCAAATAGTACCTGCTCTGTGAGGGTCCATGGGGGTCCTGAGCACTGAAGAACAGGGTAAAAGGGGGTAACAAAGTATCAGAGAAACAGATGGACTACAGTCTGTAACTGAAGAACTACAAAGTGCACCTATATAGTAAGTGGAGCTGATAAAATGGACCACGAGTGTAGAAACAAGGAGGTGGTCAGAATGTTATGCCTGATCTGTGTATGTAAATGCAGTGTTTTTTTTTCTGACATCACAAAAACTCAATTCAAAATGCGCCGTAGCTTAGCTCTTCCGAAATCTGTTGTTTATATACTACTAAAAGTGAATGTGTTTTTCCATGATGTTGGGCCTTAAAGTCAGTGTTAGCCTACTGTGGGGTCTCTATGCGCACCAACACACATACATCTGTAGAGTGAGATGTGATCTAGTAGGATGTGAGGAAAGAGCCTGAATGTGTTTATTGATCGGTGCTGTGATCTTTCTCGGCCTCCTGAATTATTGACATCTGTGCAACCTCTGACCCTGCGTTCAGCTCTCTCCTGAGGCCTGCTGTCTCCACTGTTGAGTAAGACTCAGATATTAGACTGTGGGATTGAGAAAGCATGTGATCTAAGGAGCATGACAGGAGAAAAGAGACCAGACACAGGCCTCTGAGGACGTTTCAGCATCGCCATTAGTTTCTAGATCACCATTAGCATTAGCGAGGGTCCTGGGTCTGAGCTGTTTGAGTCTATGGGTTAGGTCAACTTCAGCATGTCCAGATCCAGTTTAAGGGGAGCCTAGCCACTTCCTGTTTCTCTGGTTATATCAATAATATGACTACAATACACCAGAGTTACTGCTACTGAGTGCTAAGTGGCTGACATCACTGCTACTGAGTGCTAACTGGCTGACATCACTGCTACTGAGTGCTAATTGGCTGACATTACTGCTACTGAGTGCTAATTGGCTGACATCACTGCTAGTGAGTGCTAACTGGCTGACATCACTGCTACTGAGTGCTAATTGGCTGACATTACTGCTACTGAGTGCTGATTGGTTGGCATCACTGCTACTGAGTGCTAATTGGCTGACATTACTGCTACTGAGTGCTGATTGGATGGCATTACTGCTACTGAGTGCTGATTGGTTAGCATTACTGCTACTGAGTGCTGATTGGTTGGCATCTCTGCTACTGAGTGCTAATTGGTTGGTATCGCTGCTTCTGAGAGCTAAGTGGCTGACATTACTGCTACTGAGTGCTAATTGGTTGGCATCACTGCTACTGAGTGCTGATTGGTTGGCATCACTGCTACTGAGTGCTAATTGGCTGACATTACTGCTACTGAGTGCTGATTGGTTGGCATTACTGCTACTGAGTGCTGATTTGTTAGCATTACTGCTACTGAGTGCAGATTGGTTGGCATCACTGCTTCTGAGTGCTGATTGGCTAGCATTACTGCTACTGAGTGCTGATTGGTTGGCATTATTACTACTGAGTGCTGATTGGTTGGCATTATTGCTACTGAGTGCTGAATGGTTGGCATTACTGCCACTGAGTGCTGATTGGCTAGCATTACTGCTACTGAGTGCTGATTGGTTGGCATTACTACTACTGAGCACTGATTGGTTGGCATTACTGCTACTGAGTGCTGATTGGTTGGCATTACTGCTACTGAGTGCTGATTGGTTAGCATTACTGCTACTGAGTATTGATTAGTTGGCTTTACTGCTACTGAGTGCTAATTGGTTAGCATTACTCTTCTGAGTGCTGATTGGTTAGCATTACTTCTTCTGAGTGCTAATCAATTGGCAAGCTGATCAGCTCATAGGCTTTCTACTGCAAGTACTCATTGCAGGGTGGAGCTGATAAAATGGACAATGAGCGTAGAAACGAGGAGGTGGTCATAATGTTGTGCCTGATCGGTGTAGTCATGCTGTTTTTTACGTACCCATAAGGCTTTGCTGTGTGTAAAACATTAGAAAACACACATTGTCTGTCTCTTCTCAGACTTACAGCGTCCCTGAGTCTCCACTCAGAGCGAAGAAACAGCTTTGTTCAGTTCCGCCGTTCTCCAAGATTATTTATAGCTTCTGCAGCTGCTGGAGAACCGAGCCGTGACTCTGTGAGTGAAGAGAGGTTCACTCCGAGAGCTGAAACATGCCTCCAACACAGCACTCGGTTCTCCCGATCATCGGTTTCCACTTAAACAGTAATCAGAGGAGTAACGAGTGATGAGTGATTGTTTTTCTGTGTAACCGTCACTCAGCCGAGTGTTCATAATAATTTGATTGATTGTGTTTGTACTCTCTTAAAAAAGACGGTTCTAAAAGGTTTCTTTAGTAGACACAACGGTTCTGTTTAGTCCATCTGTTTCTCTGCATACTATGTTAGCCCCCTTTTACCCTGTTCTTCAGTGCTCAGGACCCCCACAGACCCTCACAGAGCAGGTACTATTTGGGTGGTGGATCATTCTCAGCACTGCAGTAACACTGACGTGGTGGTGGTGTGTTAGTGTGTGTTGCGCTGGTACGAGTGGATCAGACACAGCAGTGCTGCTGGAGTTTTTAAATACTGTGTCCACTCACTGTCCACTCTATTAGACAATGTAACAGCTGACTGGCTGAGTATTTGTGTAATGAACGAGCACAAACTGATGTATTGTAAGACTCGTTATGTTCACTCATGATGCAGGACTGTTTTATCATAATAAGAGTCCCCATCATTGATAATTGAGTAAATTGATGCCATGGAGGTTAAATATGGGCGAGTGGTGCAGTTATGAGTTATGAGTTATGAATGCGCCTCAAGGCAAAATCACACATGATTTCAGAATACAGTATTGTTGATGAGGAACTGAAGGGGAATCGTGGGTATCTTCATTCTCATATTATGTAACACACACAGCAGAAGTTCATATGCGGAAGGCGAATCTGCTCTCCTGCGTTTTTCCCACGTCACCAGGCGAAAGAGAGGAGCCGAGCCCTAAAAATATCCCTCCGCATCTTACAGTGTGTGCATCTGAGAAACCCTCTCACCCTCACACTCCTCACACTCCCCTCGCTGTCTTACATAACATCACACAGCCGTTACTATGGCGAAGGAGGCTACTGCAGTCCACCTTGACGCAACGACGCAAAATACAGCCATAAAATGCCATAAGAGCCCTGCAGTCTCAAACACACAGCAAGAAAAGTTTGGAAACGAGTGTATGGTATCTATTGCTTTAAATGTGGCCATAAATACTGGGATTTTGTTGCATAAAACGAGCGCATGCAAATTTCACTGACAAATTTGTTCTTGATCAGTTTCATCTCTGGTGTATCTACATGATCAAACTCACGTCTGGTAGAAGTGCGATTGAAGAAATGCTTGATTTGGGGTAACTAACCAAAACTGTTATCAACATCGTCTATAATACTAATAATAACAATAAAAACAGACAATAACAATAACACTAATTGACTGTGCGCTTGGCAATCCAGTACAAAAGCAGATGTTCTTATTTTACATGCACACTGGTATAAACAAATGCTATTCCATGTTCCATTTAAGGATGCAGTTTTGTTTTATAATATAAAAAAAATGAGCAACACGAAAAACACACAAGCATAATAATAATAATACAGTATTTAAATGTTATTTTAGAAAGGCAGTCAAACTACACAATGACATCGTTCTGCTGTTTCAAAGAATAGACGTTTTCTTTATTTCACATTTTTTTCTTGTAATTTCAACACTATAAAGTTTGGCCAGTAGGGGGAGCAGTGCCTCAAACTCCGCCTACAAGCACAGCAATTGGCTCACTGGATGCTGTCCTTTTATGGGCTCCTCACTGAAACATCTACATGAATTGAGAGGTGCTTCAGGTAAA